AGACACTCCAGCAGCCAAATTAATTCACATATTACATACATATAGAAACACTAATACCCAAAATATAAATATAATTAATATACACAAATTCCAAGATAAAACACTTCCATCATCCCTAAACATACCCTCACACCAATTTTAATAATCAAGAAGTCCAAGTTAAATTCAACTTTAGCCAATAATAAACACAATAAAATTTATCACACCGATTTAACAAATTCAATTAAACTTCCTTCTGCTTACCCACTGTAAATCTCCCAATTAAATTGACACAAACACTCCCAATAATAATTCAAGGAAACTAGCCCCTCCATTTGCTATATATATATCAACATCAACCAAGTTATTGAGCATATGATCTAGAAGCATCAATAGAAATTGATGTCTAGCATTTGAAAATAAACCCTTTGGATTATGTTATCTCACACTAATCATTCTACCATAAAAATCACTCTTAAATCAAACAATTCACACAAGCAATAACAGAATTCAACACAAACCAGTAGTAAATTGCAATAGCTATGTTCAGTACGATCGATGACGAAGGCAAAAGAGCGCAGGGAGTCGAAGACCAGAAGCACGATGAAGGTGAACGCGACAGAAACCAGAATCAGTCAACGACGATGAACTGATGAAAAACGCAACAAGAGAGTGATGGAGACCGAGAACGAAGATGAGAGAGTGAAATGAAATGCAAATCTAGATTTAGGTTTTTAAATTTTGGTTTTTTGACCCGGCTTGCAGGAATTACTACACTGTTATTTAGCAGACGGAAATCACTCACGATACATGACAGAATATACCTATTTATGGTTTACAATCTTTAGGTATTACTTGTCTTTCGCGGTAAACTTTGGATAGATGTAAGGCATTCGGCTATTCTGTAATAGTGTAATGTTAACGTGCACAAGTTATATATATATGTTATTTATAAATTCTTTTTTTATTTACCTTTATTATTGGTATAATTAATGGTTGTTAATCTAACTATTAAATATAATATACGTGAAATTAACTTATAGGCAATCAGGAAATCGCTTTATAATTAGTGAACCATAATTTATTGAAAACCTCTTTAATGTTTTGTTGAGTCGAATTATTTATTCTACAGTCAGTCAAAATAAATAATGGCTTTTTCCCTTTTTATTTGAAAATTATAAAATAAAAATTTTTTTCTCTCCACTATCCTCGGAAAATCCCTCTGTCTCAAATTTATTAAAATAGAGGTTATTTTTATTGATATGCACCCATCCAGGAATGTTGTATTTTCAAATATTTGACTTTTTCATTAAATACATGTTAGGATATACAAAAAGTAGAGCATTAAATACATACTAGTAAATTAAGAATAAAATAATCCCCCCCCAAAAAAAGATAAAAATATATTTAAAGTCCAAAATTAAATAGTCAAAAATTCCTCAATATTAAATATACTATAGTGCATAATTTGGAAACTACTGCTGACAGGCTATATATACTATAGTTAGACTTTATATGGTTGCTTAGGAAATTCACTAGCAAACTAACCCAAGCCCATCCGAAAAAATATCAATCATCATTTTATTTGCCAAATTCCATTAAGCAAGCCAATTATTAAGAAACACTTATTGTTTATATACACAAGATTGGGTAAATTTTCAGGATTTCCCAACCACTAATTCTGATAAAACAGCTCAAAATTTTTTTAGCTTCTTAACGAACTGCACTGTGCAACTAAGAACATGGTCACAAGCACACATTCATAAATGATAAATACACTACAGCAAGAATATTCCAGCATGGGTCAGAGTTATTTCCAAATGAAAAGAAATGGCATTATTTCCAATCTAAAATTAAAACTAACTCAGCCTGGAATGAAACCAAATGAAAAGAATCTATTGAAGAATGGCCTTATTTCCAATCTAACAGTCACAAGGAAATACTAACAACAAGACAACAACTGAATCAAAATATGTAAACAAAAAAAAAAAAAATCATAACGATGTAATTTGGCCAAAAATGCAGTCCAGAACCATGTAATTCCAACCTCCAATTCATGTTTTTATTCAACAAAAATGCAACCCATAAACGCATATAAAACCAGCCACCACTACATGTATAATTTCGGTCGACATAAAATTCATAAACACATGGAATCCAAGCCATCATTGCATGCATCATATAACACATAACCAAAGAAATCCCATTCAAATAAAAATTGGAAAACACAAATTACACATGCAGATGAAGAACTACCAGAGAAAACAACATCATATAACACTTCTATTTGTCAATCACACAAACCAATCCCACCAAATTGATTGGATTTCTCTTTATCAAATCAACTCCATTCAACACAAATGTAAATCCAACACATTCATCCAACATAAAAAAAAAAATAATAATAATAAAATTAAAAAAAAAATTGAAAAACAGAAGTGTCGTATTACTGTGGATGATTTGTTTTTTCAGATGAGGAAGACGATGAACCAGATCACGCAGATGAGATGAAGAACACGATAACCCAGAACGCAGATGGAAGAAAGAAGAAGAAGAACACCGCGACTGTCGTTTTTGTTTTGTTTTTAAACGCTTTTCCCAAAATTTTTAACCCTAAACATTTTTAATTCACAAATTTTTTTTATTTAGACTAGGGACGCTCGTCCTAAAATAAAGGACGGCCGTCCATAAGGAATGGACAGCCGTCCCTTAAGAATGGACAGGCGTCCCTTAGGAATGGACGGTCATCCATTCCATATGGATGGTTGTCCATAAATAAGGGACGCCCGTCCATTCCTTATGGACAGGTGTCCAAATTTTTTTTTTTTACATTTTTAAACCAAATTATGGACCGGCGTCCATTATATACGGACGCCCATCCACAAATTGTGAACGGGCGTCCAAGATTTTTTTAAAATTTTTATATTTTACATATTGGACGGGCGTCCCTTATTTAATGGATGCCCGTCCAAAATTAAGGGACGGGCGTCCATTAACATATGAAATCCCGTCCAATATGTATGGACGGCCGTTCATAACCTATAAACGGCCGTCCCTAATTTTTTTTTAAAAAAAAATCATTTAGAAATGGACAGGCGTCCTCTAAATCAGGACATCCGTCCGTAGTAAATGGACTCCCGTCCATATCATTAGACAAAATTTAATAACGCTAAAATGCGTTGAATGGTCTGAATGGTCTGACTCAACACACACGTAAGCCGGTACAAAATTTTGGTATAAAAACACCGGTGTCTGTAGCATTGCTTATCGAACAATAGCAACGAGAATTAGAAAGAAGTCTTTTAGTGACCCAATTTGGGCCCCGGTCCATTTGGACCAGAGGTTCACTATTGTTCTGTCGGTCCAACCGTGGGTCACTCTAAACTAATTGAGATAACTAGGTTCATTTGCTGTCCAGATCCAACCGATCAAACAGGCCAGGTCGGGCTGGGTTTCAAAACACTGATTTTAATTAAATCTCAATAAATATTTGCTATAAAATAATGTTCCGACTCAATTTACAAAAATAGGAGCTACTAACTTTTAAATTAATTACAAATTCATTTAACAATTATATTTACCAGTAGTACCTTTAATCTACACAAGCAAAAAGTGAGAACCTATGATCTTAATTATCTCGTCCTATAAACTGAAAAAACAACAAAGGGATTGCTATGAAACATGAGACAAATTCATCATGGCATATGTTGATGCGTGATTTTGACACCAACAACCTCACAAGTGCAAAGTACTAAGAAGGTCTTAGAAATTACACATAATATGATTGTGAGAGTTGAGTATGGTGCAGTAGTGATATATGTTTGCAGAAATATAAATAAAAAGATTGACAAGAGATGTTTTTATAGTGGTTCGGATGTGTAAAGCGGATCCTACATCCACTGTTATTTTATTATTCTCTGACTATTTTTCTAATTTGCCTGTAAAGCGTACAAAGATAGAGTAATGCTTTTTTTACAGAGAAGAATAATAAAGTTCAAATGTTTGTCTAGCTCTCATATGTCTAGCCCCTAGCCTTCTTTTTCATGAAGAGAACTGCTAATCTATACACCTTTGAGCTCAACGTAATTGTCTAGCTCTCATATGTCCAGCTCCTAGCCTCCTTTTTCATGAAGAGAACTACCAATTTATACACCTTTGAGCTCAACGTAATGAATGCTTTTACTAGTTGTCTTGACACATAAAGAGTTCTCATTCATCCTGATCTTTTATTTTAATAAAGGTGGGATAGGTGTTATATAATATCTTTTTGAGACGGCTTATGCTTGCTGGCTAATACACTTTGTCTTTTAGGTAGTGTTGACATAAGTGTATATTTTGTGGGCATAACAACATCAATCAAGCCAAAAAAAAAAGGCACGAACAGGAGCCCATTTGATGCAAACAAAAAATGTTCTTCTACTTCATTTCACATGGGCATCTTGGCCTTAATATACAGTGAAGACAACCGTGAAATTCACAAATAATTGGTTTGATTGCTATGCAAATTCAATTTTGTTATTGAAGCAATGCATTTTTTAACATGCAGATTCAGATAGAAGAAGAATATCAATGGTCACACAAGGCAAAAAAGAAAAAAAAATCAAAAAATTTTATTATGTATCCTCGAATTAATTTACAAACCATATTTATCTTTTGTGTGTGGAATTTACATAAAAGTCTAATTATAATTGATCTACGTACAATATATCAATTCCATTTTACTGCTAAATTAGATGAGAAGTAAAAGATGAAAATAATAACAAAGGGATTCAATTTTATTATGTCTAACATTTCACAGTCCAGCTTACACTACAGAATTTATAACTAACGTGAGGCAGGCTATTCTGATGCCAACTCTGGTATTGGAATATGAGCCTTTTTCCTATGCCCCGTGACGTCAAAACATATATTTTGGGACACAACAGCCTCGTAATAGTCATTTTCTAGGTAGAACTATTATAGTTCCATGCCCCTCGCATCATTTGAGAACTCTAAAGCTGCACCACAACCACTTCTGAATATGAAAAAAGGGAAGCAATACATTTTTATTCTCTTATGTTAAAAATTAAAGACGAAGAAAGTTATCTTAACTTTCATTATTTCTTGTAACCATCTCCATTACTTAATGGAATGGGATCAACAAATAATGACATTATGCGATCTTTACTCGTGTCTTGAATACCATGTCCATCTCCATATTGGTACACACATTGAGCCACCATGCCTAGGTTCATTGCAGTTGTAACAAAAGTTTCTGAAAAATGAGGGTTTTCAAGCCAATCTTTGTTCATCTTCATCCATGCTACAGCTATCATTTCCTGTATGCGTTCACGAGCCTCTTCTTCAGACGCTCCAGTTTCATGCATGTAACAGTGGATAGATTTGGGAACATCCCCTCTTGCTATCTCGTGCTAAATTTGGAAAAAAAAAAAAGAAAAAAAAAAAACATAGAAGCAAATATTTTACCAAATAATTGAGAAGCAGTGAAAATATTTTATCATCAATTAGAGTTTATGAACTCCAATTCGGATATGAGGCTTTACCTAGAGGGACAAAATTTATGATTGACAGTTACAAAAAAGATATATGATAAACAAATAAATCTTAATAATAAATAGATTAATTAATATGTGAGCTCATGTCAAAAAAAAAAGGATCCTATTTTAGAAAAGAAAAGTACATATATAGAGCTTACCAATGACGTCCCCATGTCGTCTGCAAGTCGTAAAATGATGGCTGACCAATGAATTATATCGCTGTATTCGTCAAAGTATTTCATGGGCTCCTTTGGTAATGGATTTGTACTTAAAAAGTATGCATTAATTAGTATCACAGGTGCTGCTATAGAAATCCATGCATTGTCCATGTAATCTTTGAGGGTTAGGGTGTAACCATCCTTGTACCACTTTGCCTCCAATAAATAGGCTTTGCATAAATCTGTCCACTGAAACAATTTATAATGACATCAATCATAATGAATCACATTAAATCTACAACATTAAAAAATCACATTCATAATATATTTTATATAAATAGACTAAATTAATTACCGATTTCTTTAGATAAGGAATGATGTCAACTGCATGTTCTTTGAAAACATCAAAACCTAATTCGTTGACGAAATTGTAGAAAGCAAGAAAAAATATCTTCATATAGTGTGGAACTTTGTCAATTTTGTTGACATCCCATCTAAATAACAACACAAATTATATATAAAAATTCCATGTTGGGAATAGCTATGTACGGAATTAAATAACTATGTGTATCGATCGAAACTTGCATGGCCTGCCACAAACCTTTCAACGGCTTCGGTTAAGAGTTCAAGTTCATCCACAGTGCCATAAACATCATACACATCATCCATAGTCGTAATCAAAGCATTGACCACTCCAGACATACTCCTACAATATCCATACTGAGGTTCGGAAGTCATCCCCGTAGCCCAAAAGAAACTCACCATCCAGCTATCCCGTGCAAAACTACTAAGTTGATCTCCAAGACCCATCTTCTTCCACTTCCTTTGTATGAATAAGAACATCATCATGTGAACAAGATATTTTTTTAGTTTATTAATTGCTTTTATATTTATGTTGTAGTTTCATGTTTAAATATTAAATCAACAACTTTACCCGCTCTTAATTAGGTATAGATAGCGTCTTACCTTGATGCAGACTTCATATCCTCTTGGTGCGTTGCTTGCACCATGTTAAAATCGAGTTTAGCAAGCTCAAGCACGATACTGTTCATGTCAGGTCTTGTCTCATATACATCTATGAACCACCTTGCCTCCAATCTTGGCATCCTCCAATACCGTGGAAGCTCCAACTCATGGCTCACTACAGTGGAAAGATATTGATCTTTGTTTTCTTTCACATTTTCGTTGAGGTAGGAGGTTGTGAAATTTCTAAAATCATCAAAGATAGAATTCTCTTCTTCTTTCAAAAGAAATGCAGCTTCATACATAGATAAAATTCCTTTGCAATCATCTTTGAGGCATGGCCTGAAGTTTCCTTTCTCATCCCTGAAATTTTCGAAAATTTCTGGAAAAAGGATGCAAGAATGAAAGGGAAATTAATTACTTTTTCCATCGCGTTGCACTGTAAAAGAATCTCACGAATCCAATAAATTTTATATTTGGTAGAAAAATTGTGTATAAATGACTACAAATCGCAACTTTTTGTGTATGTGATAGATATATATTATGTACCTGTAGGTACATCATAGCCATGTTGTCTTAAAAGTCTGAATTCAAGAGCTACTGCATGTAAACTTTCTTTTCTTTTGTTATAATTGCTGGAATTGTTGTTGTGTATCTTATTAAGGATTCTCTTTATTTCCTCCTGAAAGTGATAAGATACTCCAAGTCTTTCCAAGTCATCAATGAGCTCTAGTCGATGTAAAGGATCCACCAAATTAAGCATCAGCCTAACTTCTTCCTTAAGCTTTTCAACCCGTTTGGCAAACGGTTCTCCCTGCATATATCAGAACTAATTAATTTTAATAACTTATAAACAATGTTTTAAAACCCGGCCCGGCTCGGCCGGTTTAATTGGGACCCGGAAGCTTCAACGGGTTGGGTTTATATTTTTCCTATTCACCCAAAACCCTAGGATTTGGAAGGATGATCGGCGAACAATTGACGGTCGGGATGTTGGAGCTTTTGAAGAGAAAGTGCCAATAAATGCAATGGTGGTGATGGAGTTGATTTCTGGTGAGGAAATAGAACAAAACTGGAAGCGGCAACAACTAGCTTTTGCCGGCGATTGGCGAGGTTATGGGGGTGGGGTGAGATGGGTTTTGGTCGGAAGGAAGAGGAAAGTAATTTCTGGGTGATGGGGAGGGTTGTCGACGCCGGCGTTGATAAGATCTAGTTGAAATCGGACCTATTTCGGCCAGATCTTTGGTATATTTTAAGGGGAATAGGCTCAAGGGATGACGAGGTTGCATCTGGGGTGTCGCCTCCACCAACCAATCACCGGCCGATTTGTATTGCTAAATTTTAAACCTATAGAGACTTAACGTAATTTTTAGGGGTGTATTTGCTGAATTTTAGAAGTTTTTGTCAACCGGTCAACCCAGGACCCTGCAACTTTGCTGGGTTTCACCCCGGGTTGGGTTTTAAAACATTGCTTATAAATACTGATGCAAACCATATGCTTCTATAAGTATAAGAAATAAAAGTTAATTGACAACAGAAATATACCACATAGTTACTGGCAAGTGATTGAGCAAAATCATGGGGCCAAATGGAAGGTTGGTAATTGGCTGATCGTCTAACAATGGTTTCGTCGGACGTTTCGGTTGCAGCTATACATTTGAGTACTAATCTACCAGCTCGACCAATGATGTTGCCGGATGATCCAACTAAGGAGCTGTTTTAAAGGCGGCAATCTTTTAAAAGTTAATGAAGGCGATGAAGTAACCTGACAATAAAGGCGGCAATCTTTTAAAAGTTAATGAAGGCGATGAAGTAACCTGACAATAAAGAGCCATTTTGATTTAGGAAGGTTTTTCAGGACAAGTGTTGGGTGGAATGACTTGTATGAGGTTGTAGTTGCACTCCCAATGCCTCTATTTATACACACCGTGTATGACTGTGAAGTACTAGTTAATCATTATAAACCAAAAAAAAAAAGGATATGACTTTAATGAAGCTAACCAATACTTTCTAACGAAGCGATGTGACATCTTAAAAGCTCGCCCCCCCTCATCTATCTTGCCAACTCTAGGACTTAAGAAGTCATTGATTTTACTATCATATAATGAGCAACAGAAGTAAATCTTAAACATCTCTCTAAATGGTGGCGGAAAAGAAATGTTTCTCAGAGATTCTTAACAATAATTCATTTACTTATTTAACATGCATCTGTTGGTTTGTTGACTTTTCAGCTATAACACATTGATCAATTTGAATCCTTTTAACGTGGGTAAAATCCTAACACAAGTAGTAGTGTTAAGTTGGTTAAAGGGAGAACAACATTTTCCCACCCAAGATTTGGCGAAAATACACTTTCCCATCCGTCAAGTTTCAAAATGACACTTTCCCACTATTCATCAAGTTTTATTAGTGTTTTTTTTTAATATTTAATTGAAAAGACAAAACCACCCTTAAATAGTTTATTTCCTAACAGCTTTTTAGCTACTTTTTCATAATTTATTAAGATTTTTTATGTTAATTAGTAAAAAAGAAAAACATTATATTATGAAAAAAATATTATAAATTTAACAGATTATTGAATAATAGTGATGAGATACTGATGATATTATAAATAAATAAATATTAAAGTCATTTAACTTTAAACAATTTTATAGTATTATTCTTAACTTTTTAATTAGGATTAACTATTTTTTCTTTTTGGACTTTTTAATATCTAACTTTTTGGCTAATTAAAAAATAATAAAAAAATTTATAAAGTCAAATAATTAAGGATATTTTTATTTTTTAGTTAAATATTAACAGAAAATATAATAGAACTAAATAAAGGGTGAAAAAGTGCCATTTTGAAACTTGATGCGAGAGACGTTTTACCAAACCTTTGGTGGGAAAAGTTGTTCTCCCTTCATTAAGGTGAAGTAAACAAAAACGTCAAATTAGCCTGTTAATATCTTATTCCCCAAATCTTAATATTAATTAAATATAGAAGGAGCATAACTTGTATAGCCACATCTGTATCATATTTACTGGCGATCAAATTTAATAAAGCTATTCATAATCCAATGTACATCTTTTCCATTCAAAACCTGATGGCCATTTAATTACACAAATAACACATGTCAAAAAGTGGATTATTAAAGAACAATTAATTACATTTATGGAAAGTGTCACCGTTATGGCCACAAAAGTCTAAATAGTATTATTTTATCAAAATTGAGAAGTGATGTCGATTTCTATCTAGCTAATACAGTTCCACCCATTTCACGAATAAAATGTGGTCAATTAAGTAATCAAGAAAACTGCTTTTAAAAAATATGCAATTATAGAGAGAAAAATCTTTGTAGGGTAACATTAAAGTCATTACAGAATCCTTTAACAATTAAATATTATTGTAGGATTACTCTTAATTGAAAGGAAACAATATACTAACAAAATGTTTTATACTTGAATGAATATGTAAGGAGCAAAACCTTGAGCAAATATATTTGAAACAATAATCAAATTTACAAGAGACACAAACAATTTTACGTGGAAAAACCTCTTCGATGTGAAGAAATTAAAAAACCACGAGATCGAATAATCCACTTAAATCCACCATAATAAAAAAGTGTTTACAACAACCACAAATCACCAATAATATTCCACACAAAATTTAGAGCTTTATTACAACTCTAACAAAGTGAAATATATAAAAGAGTTACGAAAAGATAAGAGTAGAGCACCCAAAATGTAGGTCGTATAACTCCAAATTTAACCATTAAAATCGAAAAACCATCCAGATTGAAAGTCAAATGTCCTCTGCGTTTTGACCAAATATCAGATTGATTAGGCTAGAGATGACATTCTAATTGTCAGGTTGAAAAAGGACAAACGGATTTAAAATTTTGCAACTCAACTCTTTGATTTATTGTCTTTTTAGAGGCAAAACTCTACAAAAAAAAAAAAAAAAAAAAAATAGTTATAACGAAACTGACCGTTGGATATGAAGGTCTTGCCATCAGCAACGCTTTGAAATTTTAATAAAAATGAAGTAAGATTTACCATTGGATCATCTCCAAAATAACTTGGTATGACTGCCTCTCTCTCTCTCTTTTACGTATTTTTAATCTGTAAACAGTATCCACGTTTTTTACTGTTCACCCACTCAAAAATCAACTAAAACAAGCTGCACTTCATTTTTAATTTTTTTTTTTTGAGCTTTAGAAACCCAAACCCAAGATTAATCAATCTAGTAGGAACTACACAGCTTTCTAATTGAATTAATGAGAAGTATCCAAGTTGACATTGAAGAAGTGATTCTTAAGAATATTAATCGATTTAATTATTTACCATCTGTTCGCTCTGTTGACAGCAAACACATCGCTTGTTGAAATTCTCCATTCAATAGGTTGTCTTCGTGCTTTTACTCTGTTTAAAAAGTGGAATGGTGGATTATAAAAAAAATAAAAAATAAAATGATTCGTGTATTAACAATAAATTATTTATTAATAAGTTGTCAAGCAAATGGTGAATTAGGAATGATCTTTTTTTTTTTTTTTTTTTAATAATCGGGGTGTTTAGGTTAACTTACATATACCTCAACAAATCCCTCAAGACTCTAGAATTATTGGTCGGGTAAGATCTCCACTGGATATCTCTATTAGTAACCGAATAGAGATTCGAACTCAGAACCTTTTGAGTAATACATTCAAGAGCTTATATCGAACTACTCAACCACCCAAAGGTAGTTTGATTATGTTTTTGTCATGGTTCATCAAAGTAGGAAACTTCATAGCTCCACTACTTACGTCAAAATTGCAATAAAAATTTGACATGAAAGTTCTCAATCGAAATATTGAAAACAATACTTATGTCCGTTTCATTATTGGTGACATTAAATTATTACCACTAAAGAAAGTCTAAAATTAAAAATAATAATGATAATTAGTAATTTAATCATGTTCTTTAATTAGAAAAGACTCGGTCTCTAAGTAATGATCTAAATTGACGTTATTTCATGTCTAATTTTGAAATTCATAAATATTTATCTCTTTTTTTTTTTTTTTAAATGATTAGAGGTATTTAGATCAATTTACGCATACCCCAACTAATCAAGATTTATCATTAGCGATTGAACCGTTAGAAGGAAATCACTATTCTTGAAGGAGTAATGCTATACTTACTCACAATCTTACTAACCATCTTACAATCCTGGAAAATATAACGGCATAGTACGGGTACCATATGCATAGTACCCATACTATGCCGTTATATTTATCAGAATAGTAAGATGGTTAGTAAGATTGTGAGTAAGCATAATTTTATTGATTCTTGAAGATGCCACTTCGGACTTTCAATTTCCTTCTTGGTAAACTGATACCGAGTTACCGACACTTCTTTTTAAAAAACTGAGCTTATTGATTTTGGTAGTGGACTGGATTATTTGGCCTACACCAGATAAGTTGACTTTAAAAATTAAAAATCTGAATTCCAGAGCTCTGCCACATATATACATAAAAATAAATAAATAAGTGGAGCTATTAACACCCACTAATAAACTAAATAAACCTCATTTCTTAAGGTACTACATTTTAAAGTTTTAAAACTAATTTTTTTTCTTAGGGCATCCCATAAAATCCATAAATACCTTCCATTCCATTCTCTTTTTTATATATATTTTTAAAAAATTAACATTTCAATCCCTTCACGTATGTTATACATCTACAATCGTTATTTCTAAATAAAACTTTAAATAATTAAATTGAAAGTTAGAAAAAATTAAAATTAAAAAAAATCCTTTCAAATAAACTCAAGATTATAATAATAAATTAATATGTAAAGCAATTAAAAATTTATAATTTTGTATTCCTTGTAGCTTGATATATCGCATTCCAAATTTTCTTCATCCATTAAACTATCTTTTTGTTTTAAGAATGATTCTAATAGTATTAAAAAAAAAAAAAAAAAAAAAAGGGGTTTATAAGATAATAGTGGGGTGTCAAAACTATTTGTGAAAAATAGGATATTAAAGTTAATTATAATAATTTAATATATGAATAAAATTATTTTATAAGTGGTGGTCTATTGCGCCTAATTGAGAACTTCTCTTTTTCATGATACTTGGGGTTTTCTTAATCATCGTTTCGTGTGGGTTTTGTTTTGAAAAGAAAACAAATATACATATTTTTCTCCATTTCTCAAGTTCACTTAATAAAGTACTAATCCATGTCATTTCTGAAGCTGCTTGGGCAATGATCTATACTCACTCTTAATACTTGATTTGGCAACAGATTTTTGTTTCCTGGAACTCCAGGACACCAAATTACTGCCAAAGTAAACACAACTCCCACTAGTGACTTTCTATTTGTTGTATCACATGCCTAGTCTGTGTTTGAGTATCCCTCTAGCTCAAATCTTCCTCCAAAGTGAACTTTAAGTCCATAATTGATGGTACCTTTAAGTTATCTCAATACTCGTTCAATAGCTTGCCAGTGCAAGTTTGGAATTGTTTTGAAAAATTTACGAGTATAGAGTAATTTTCCCCCTATACTCATATACACAATAATTCTGTAGTTAGGACGTACGTTCTCATAGTAATTCTATCAGCACCATATTTAAATATCGTTGAATTCATATAATGGATTGAAATAATATTTTAAGGTAAAAATCAATCGATGATTAAACATGATCAGATATGTAACCATATAGTGGCTTGTGGGTTCAATTGAACTCACCAAACTTTTCAAAAATTTTAAAAAAGTACTAATAGTTTACAGATTTTATAATTTTAACCCTACTTAATTTCATATTGACCCCAAAAAATAAATTATTAATTAATATTTTTTAAATTTTTCTCTTTTCTTTATTTCCTCTCTTTTGCTCTTATATTATATTTTTTCATTGGTTGATACTAAAAAAAGGCTACTCCTTTGGATTACAAGATAAGATGATACTAATTTTATTTTTATATTTTTACTTAAAATTAATTCTTTTCTTTTAACTTTCTTAATTAATGCAAGATCATGAGTTATGAGTTTATGTTGAGTTTAATAAATGAGTTTGAAATAATTCATAGATTTTGATGTGAGCTTTGATTTAATCTTATTTATGTTGAGGTATGGGTTAATTAATTGCTATTTTAAGTTGGTTTTGATAAATTGTGGTTAGTTATTGTATTAATTTTGAATATGGTTTAAAGAATTGATAAAACTCTAAGCTGTTGAGATTTGAAGATTTGATTTAATTTCGATATATTAGTTAGTTGCTAGATGTTTAGAGTTAAATTTGATGAGTTTTCATAGGTTTATGAGTTAAATTTTACTGGGTTAATAGAAATTGTTTGAAAAACCTAAGTTATGAGTTGAATTTTGATAAATTTGTGTTGCTTTTTAATTGTAATTGCAAATAAATTATATTTCTAATAATAAAAATTCTTTTATTTTTTTTTAGTTATGAACAAGTTTTTGATCAAAAGAAAGTTTTCTAATAAGGAACCATCAATTGAACAAAACATAAAGCGTCACGATAGTGTTCACAATGAGCCTATGGAATCTAGTTCAAGACAAACATATGTTAAGGTTAACTTGAGTAGTCTTCCTACAGATCCTAGATTGAGGATTAAAATTTTAGAATATCATCCTAATGATAAAGACAAAGTGAGAAATGCATACTTGCAAAAAGGACCTTGCCAACCAATTATGATTTTAAAAAGCGAGCAATTGAGAATTTAATGCGTCGTTTTAATCCCATTTGGTTTAGAGAATATGCAAATTGGTTGGAGTATAGTGTAGAAAAGGAGGGTGTTTTTGTTTGTGTTGTTATCTTTTTAGACATGAAATTAGCATTGATATTACCTGTTCGAACTGCAAGTGTTGAAAGAGCATTTTCTACGATGAAGATTGTGAAAAATCGACTACGGAATCGAATAGGAGATCAATTGTTAAATGATTGTCTTATTACATATATTGAGAGAGAGATATTTGCTGAATTGTCAATGAAGCAATTATGCAACGTTTTCAAAATATGAAAAATCGTCGAAGACAATTGTAGAATTGATAATTTTGTATATATAACTTTTAAAAGTATATTTTTTATGCTTATTACTTCGGTATATATTTTATTGTAAATTTATCAATTTTGATGTTTTGAACTCACTAACTCAGAATCCTAGCTACGTTCCTGAACATGGTCCAATATAATTAAACTAAAAAAACGTCATAACTACTAACTTACTATATTATTAAAAATAACATAAATTTTGCATAACAAGATTCTAAAGTCTCATTTTTTGCAGGGCTGGAGCTACATGAAGGCCACCCTAGGCCCTACAAATTTTTTTAAGTTTTTAACAATCTGGCAATTTTAGATCACAGTGAATTATTCAACGCGTGATGATTTTAATTTGTGATTAAGTATGTAATATGTCTGTCTGTCTTGAATCTTGATATAATTTAACATTTATATGCTAGGGAAAGTTTTATGGTATTTAAGGATAAACTTTCTCCATTTCAAAAAAAACAAAAAAAAAAAAAAAAAAAAAAAAAAAAAATATGGGGTTTGTTCAATGATAAAAAAAAAAAAAAGTTAGAATCTTATCACTGGTACAATTGATTTAAGATTAATTACATTGTTATTTCTAAGATTTGCTACAAAAATGTTCTCTTTTCAATTTTGGAAAGTAAACAATGATGGTTTTAAAAAAGAGGATTTGTCAGTTAAGTATAATAGTAGTAACGACAAAAAAGATCTTTTGAATAACTGGTTGTTGATTATTCCCAAATGACTCATATTTTTATATTTAAAAAATTATAATAATACCATAATGATCAATTGTTTGATTAAAAATATTAATTGTATATATAAAATTATTATCTATCTGGCCAAAATTGTTACAAAATTTTCAACATTACTCAAATTTGTAAGTTTGAATAAATCACTCATAATTTTAATTGAACAAAATGTCATTTAAGCTGTTATATTTAGCGGATAAAAATATTGTATAGACATAACAAAATTTACTTATTACAATTGAAGGAATAAACTATTTGTATCAATCTTCATGATATTATTTTAACAAATTAACGGTTTAACTTACAAAGGTTATGGTTAAGACAAACATCAATTTTTTTTTAAATTGTCATATTCTGTGAGGAAGAACGATTTATACCTACCCAAAATTTGTTGTAAAGACAAGTAATATCCAAAGCCTACCCAAAATTTATTGTAAAGATAAATAGTACTCAAAGGTTTGAAAATGACAAACGTATACTTTCCATCATGTGCTGTTAGTAATTTTTTATTATTGAAAAACAACAATGGTAGAAAAGATACGAATGCCCTTCAAAGTTTATATCTTAGTTTTTTATTAATTTTAGTCAACTCATTCAATTACGTAAATGCCCACATCATTATGGTGAATTACAATTATGCCATCAAGTTATAATAAGTTAGTGAAATGACTAGCTTGTCCCTATGAGTATGTAAAAAATGAGACACAACAAATGACCAATTTGTCCCTGTTTTGGTAGCAAATTTTCAAGTATCCAAAGAAAGTAGCAGAATAAAATTGCTCATTTGTAGCTGAAATTCATCATGATTTAAACTAAATCATTCATACAAAAGAATATAATTTGTAATGAAATTCTTCTTCAGTTGCAAATAAACAGAAACTATGAATTTAGTATAATGAAATGTGTTTACAAGGAAGATATACAAAAAAAGTAGAAACAATTGTATATGTTGACTTATATCTTCGACAATTTCCTCCTTCATGCTTCACCATTTTGATTTTCGGAAAAGTGTAAACAGATAAAGAGATACACCATAATTTTCAATAACAAAACAAAAAGATGATCAGAAATTAAAAATATAGCTGTAACAGATAAAAATTAAGATAGAGGACAAAAATAAATAAAAACACAAACAAATCTACCATGCACAACTGCTGCCTACCCAAACAAATAAGGTCAAAATCCAACCACCAAAAACAAGTAGCTCAAATTAACCCAAGCAGATCATGCCAAAATTAAAACATAAACAAACAATCAAACAATTACACCACGCATTACTTAAAACATTTATGAATAAATCAATATGTGCCAGGGATTATTCTTTTAAATGTTATAGTTTCAAAGCTGAAAATAAATCTAGAGTACAGCTCCTTGGCTTTCTCAAGTACAGCAGCCACAACCATATTTGAAATAGGACTTGAACCACCTTTCTTAACACTTCATCATCGGGTACCAAGACAATGATTTAGTAAGTTCTTTCAATCATTGAAACTCCAAGGTTATCATAAGCAGACAGGCTATCATAAAACCAACAGGAAATAAAAAGGTAGCTGTAAAATTTACAATGTTAAAATCTCAAAACAAGGGAGTCGATTTGAAACTATAACATTTAAAAGAATAATCCCTTTGCAACAGCTTCACACCAATAAACAAATAAAAGCAATGTTGTATACTCTAGATTTATTTTCAGCTTAGCAACTAACCCTTGAGTACAACTGTACAAGTATAAAATATGCTAGTATATATATATTGATTACCATACTCAATGTTAAAATCCCAAAAAAAGGGAGTTAGAGCTTCACACCAATAAACTAATAAGAGCAATGTTGTATACTCTAGATTTATTTTCAACTTAGCAACTAATTTACGCAGATATGACTTCCTTTCCCATCCTTGAGTACAAGTATAAAGTATATGCAAGTATATATTGATTACCATACTCAATATATACTTGCATATATTTCAGCATGCTTCAACGTCGAAGAAATTATTATTCAATTCAGAATCATTCCAAAATAATTTTTCACTTTCTTATTACAACTTAAATACAGAGGAGTCCCTATACTATTGCTAAATGTTATCTAACATAATCAAAATCCAACAAGTTACATTATATATACAATTAGTGGCACTATAAACCACGCAAACTTCTAAAACTCTAGCATACAAGAGTAATTTGATCACAAGAATCTGACTGAGGTCTTTTATCAAATAAGTGGTATTCGAGTGAACTTAGAATAACAGTGAACATAAGAGCTAGTCAATGAACAAAAACAAATACTCAAATAGGGAGTGTAGAGTGAAAGGGAGACCTTTCGGCCAGCAATTTTGCAAGAACGCCTGCCCATACAAACATGAGGGAATGTCTGTATCGTCCTGAGTTGATAGTTGCAGTATTTCACTTCATATAAGTGAAACCATGAAGATATTGATGATGCTGATGAAAATTGATTCCTACTAGGCAAACAATGTTTAGAGAGAGCAAATGAATCGAAGGAGCATTTTGAAGAGGCACCATTATCAACTTCTAATGACACTCCAGCAGCCAAATTAATTCAACATTATTACATACATATAGAAACACTAATACCCAAAATATAAATATAATTATATATACACAAAATTCCAGATATATAAAACACTTCCATCATTCCCTAAACATACCCTCACACCAAATTTTAATAATCAAGAAAGTCCAAGTTATAATTCAACTTTAGCCAATAATAACCACAATAAAAATTTATCACACCGATTTAACAAATTCAATTAAACTTCCTTCTTGCTTACCCAATGTAAATCTCCCAATTAAATTGACACAAACACTCCCAATAATAAATTCAAGGAAACTAGCCCCTCCATTTGGCTATATATATATATCAACATCAACACAAGTTATTGAGCATATGAATCTAGAAGCATAAATAGAAATTGATGTCATAGCATTTGAAAATAAACCCATTTGGATTATGTTATCTCAACTAATCATTCTACCATAAAATCACTCTTTAAATCAAGACAAATTCAACACAAGCAATAACAGAATTCAACACAAACCAGTAGTAAATTGCAATAGCTATGTTCAGTCGATCGATGACGAAGGCAAAAGAGCGACAGGGAGTCGAAGACCAGGAAGCACGATGAAGGTGAACGCGACAGAAACCAAGAATCAGTCAACGACGATGAACTGATGAAAAACGCAACAGAGGAGTGATGGAGACCGAGAACGAAGATGAGAGAGTGAAATGAAGATGCAAATCTAGATTTAGGTTTTTAAAATTTTGGTTTTTTGACCCGGCTTGCAGGAAATTACTACACTGTTATTTAGCAGACGGAAATCACTCACGATACATGACAGAATATACCTATTTATGGTTTACAAATCTTTTAGGTATTACTTTGTCTTTACGGTAAACTTTGGATAGATGTAAGGCATTCGGCTATTCTGTAATAGTGTAATGTTAAACGTGCACAAGTTAATATATATATGTTATTTATAAATTCTTTTTTTATTTACCTTTATTATTGGTATAATTAATGGTTGTTAATCTAACTATTAAAATATAATATACGTGAATTAACTTATAGGCAATCAGGAAATCGCTTTATAATTGAGTTGAAACTCATAAAATTTATTGAAAACCTCTTTAATGTTTTGTTGAGTCGAATTAATTTATTCTACAGTCAGTCAAAAATAAATAATGGCTTTTTCCCTTTTTCTTTGAAAATTATAAAATATAAAAATTAGTTTCCACTTCTCTCCACTATCTTCGGAAAATCCTCTCTTTCTCAAATTTTATTAAAATAGAGTTATTTTTATTGATATGCACCCATTCAGTAATGTTGTATTTTTCAAAATATATTGACTTTTTTATTTAATACATGGTTAGGATATACAACAAAAAGTAGAGCATTAAAATACATGACTAGTAAATTAAGAATAAAATAAATCCCCCCCCAAAAAAAGATGAAAAATAATTATTTAAGAGTCCAAAATTAAATAGTCAAGCAAATTCCTCAATATGAAGCTTCAAAATTCTAATTAAGGCACATCATAAATTGCTAGACGTTATCCAAATTAGAGTTATCCTTCAACATGCAAAATCTCAACTGACCATATGCAATCAAATATGAAAAACAATAAACATTGTATTATGTATATCATTTTCATTTTTCATGAAATTATTACTACTAAAAAGGTCCCAAAAAAGAAAAAGAAAAAAAAAAGCCATTAAAGTAGTTTAATATCATGTTCTTCAGGAATAATCTAACACTCATGTTCAAAGAACCTTTGTGTTAAACTTCTAGAAGAACCTTTGCGTTAAACTTCTAGAGCTTCAAGTAACAAAATTGAGGGTTTGGTTGATTAGAGAAAGAATATAATAGTTTGTTTTATAATTAGTTCTGTGAGATCCCAGATTGTACAAATTACATATGATCCCTTACTTTTACGGGCACAATTTGCCTTGGAAGGAAAATTTTTAAAACGTTAACTACATGTTACTAATGTGAGAATGTCACTCTCAAGCTTAATTTTGTGTTTTTTTTTTTTTTTTTTTTTTAACCAACTCATTCATCCTTGCCATATTAACCATATTAATTTGTTCTCCATTTTAAGTTGGTTTCCTTGAGTGGGCTTCATTAGGTTTTTTGAGCTTCTTCTAAGATCAACTAATTTTATTCATAATTAACTATAGCTAGCAAATTCTTCTTTGGTTGGTTTCCTCCAGTTGAGCCTGAGCCCACTTTCCCAGCATTCCATTTGAACAATTAATAAGCTTACCGGAAAACCAATTAATCAAGAAAACTGTTTGTTATTCTACATACAGTTACAGTACGAATTTTGCAGGCACTTACAGGCGAGACTTCTTGAGGGTACTGGGGTCAATGCCAATAATGCATTATTAGCGGAGTTCTTGTAACCGTTGGGGATCGTGCTAGAGTGGTGGGTGAACTAGTACTCTTTTAACTTTTATTTGAAATTATTTTTAACTGGAACATGTTTGGTTGAGAAGAATTCTAGTTCTTGATTAATTTTGCATAATCAATCTTAAACTTAACTATGAAGTTAAGTTTGTTTCCTTGTTTAACAAGTCATTTCTGCCTCTGCTGTGGAATTGTGGTTGGTGTTTTTGTCAATTGTAATATCTAACTTAACAGCGAAGGAATCTTGGTTAATTTTGCATGAGTAGATTTCCTTTTTATTGGGGCAGGTTTGGTATATAATGAATGAGGATAATACTACATTTATAACCAAATTTTACAAATTTTCTCTCACAACCTCAGGTGGCAACTCGCAATTGCTCTGCTCGAAAATAGGTCCCATTTGCTCACTATAAATCTTGCATAATTAATTGAAACTAATTAATTATAAACTGTCACATCAAGATTGTGAGAGAAAATTTATAAGATTGGACGAGTCAATCTTTATTGATAATAAGTGTCATAGATGTGTTTTTGGGCTGTCTTTGTACCTGGTGGATGCGCGCTCAGTTTTTTGGTATTCAATGTGGCCTGTCTGTCTACATTTGTATTTTCTTTGTAAATCATTATTTATACATTTTGTACAGCTTCTTATGAAAAAAAAAAAAAAAAAAAAAAGATATTGTGAGATGATTTATACAATAACCAACTTCAGAGCTGTTGGTTAAATTTCTAGTTTAAAGGTTTCTAATGTTTCCTACCCGATAAGGCTGGTATTCTTATTCCCTTGTACACAATGAAGACAAAATATCAGTAGGGAGAAACCACCATATTAAAAGACACCAAGAAACACATATCTATATTCCACCATATATACCAACCCTGTTTTAAACAGAATTGAAACCTAACCATATAGAATTACTATTAAACACTGGTTTGATGATTTCAGTTTAGAGTTTTAGATACTTATCATATAATTATTTGATTAGATTTAAATATTAAAATGTGTAAGTATAGTGGGACGGCGATTTTGTACCTACAATGTGGGAATGAGGCAGGGATTTTCTCCCCGCAATTCGGGGATTTTCCCCTAGTTTGGGGCAAGGCAAGGCAGGGACGGGGGTTCCTCATCATCCCCAAAACGGGGACGGGTTTAGGATCAATCTAAGGGGGTGGGGAATGGGAAATCTGGCCCTGCGTTGCCTTCACTAGTTGTCACTGTGTTTAATCCAAATAATCATAAAACTATGAAAACTACTATCACCTTGCAAATATGGCATGCAGATAAAATTCTCACGAGCCCCTAGCTAATAATTAATATTTATGCTAGATGAAAACAACTTAAGATTGTGAAAAATGTAGATCTTATGACGATAATTTTAAGAAATTTTTAAATAAAACATATAATAATAAATCAATCAACACAACATCAAGCCTCAATACAACAAAACGATCCATAACGCATCAAATAGAATTAACGCAAGAGTGTTATCAGATTTCAAATTTTATGCTTAGTTTAAGGAAGGTTATTAGGAATTAAATTAAGTAAATTAAGATTGTGTTTATTATGTTGTATTGCGGCTTGATGTTGTGGCGATTGATTTATTACTCATTTTCTATTACCCATCTTCTTCTCACATATAAACTGATAAACATACTCCTTTATATAGGAGTTAAACCCTAATTCAAATATAATTAGGAATCCTAACATTAAACAATTAAATCAAACAGTAACAATAATCTAAATAAAAATAACAATCACTTTTAATAAAACTAAACATTCAAACATGCTTAGTTTAATTCCTAACAATAATGTTCCCATATCACCTACATATCTTACAATCAATATTATGCCACGAAATATATTGCAATTTTCCATAACTAAAGAAATTTTCCTTAGTCAAATAGGATGTTTACTGAAAAAAAATGGGACCACTTTTAGGTTGATACTACTAACCCCCGTAGTTTATAAAAGCATATAGCTGTATGTTTCAAAGGTGAAGAGAGTTGCATTTTCTATTCATTTACAAACTAACAACAAAGTTGAATATTATGACATTTGATATGTCGTCTTGATGGTGCAATCCCAACGACGAAAGAGGAATGATTTTCAAGGTAATTGTCACATGTTTTCTTCTTGTTAATTGTAGTATTATATTTGGGCTTAAGCCCACTATATAGTGCTTAATTTCGTTCAGAGAGGAATATTCAAGGAGCGTAGAGTTTTTTTAATTAGCTTAACAGCTAAAAAACAAGAACAGAGTTATCACCCATTTTTTATATTGACCCCGTTAACTATGGTTAAGCAACACAACCATAGTTTTATTAACTACAATATACTTAAACTAACTACAACTAACAATTGTATTACATTAACTAGTAACTACAATACTATACAATGCTGTCTAATAATCCAAGACCCAACTTGGACAATAAATGGCGATGTAAAGGTCCAAAAAGAGCCTTAGTAAACAAATCCGCAAGCTGTTCATGAGTAGAAACATGAGTGGGAAGAATCAACCCTTCCATGATCTTGGTACGTACAATGTGACAGTCAATATCGATATGCTTCGTATGCTCATGAGACATTGGGTTGGAAGCAATATGGATGGCAGATTGATTGTCATAACAAAGTGAGATTGGCAACTAGAGTGGAAGAACAAGGTCAGTCAAGAGCTGTGTCAACCAAACAAGTTCACAAACTGTTGTGGCCATAGCTTAATACTCTGCTTTAGATGAGGATTGAGAGACAGTAACCTGCCTCTTAGATTTCCAAGACAATAGAGAACCACCTAAAAAAATGCAGAACCAAGTAATAAACTTACAAGTCATAAGGCAAGAAGCCCCATTTGAATCACAAAAGGCCTCCAGTTGAAGAGAACCGTGAGTAGGAAAGAATAGACCCATACCAGGAGAATGCTTAACATACCTGACAACTTTAAGAGCAACATGAAGATGAGATTGCTTAGGCTGATGCATAAATTGGCTAAGAAGATTCATTGAAAAACTAAGGCCAGGTCTGGTCAAGCATAAATAAAGAAATTTATCAATGAGTTTTTGACACACTGATGGATCTATCAAGACAATATCTTTTTGACCAAGAAATTGCTTATCATATTCTATAGTAGTAAACTTCATATTTGGATCAAGAGGGACCAACGATGGCTTGGCAGCAGCCAACCCTGATTCAGCAATTAACTCTAAGGCATACTTCTTTTGGCACAAGCTAATTCCTTTGGAAGACCTCGCAACCTCAAAGCCTAAAAAATACCTAAGAGCTCCTAAATCTTTCAACTTAAAATGTGAATGTAGCAAATCTTTAGTAGCTTGAATGAATGACGAATCACTACTAGTAAGAACTAAGTCATCAACATAAATGAGAAAGATGACAATATGA